GTATATATTTGATTTTAAATTTTTTTGGGGGGGTGTTTAAAAAATGAGGCAAAAAGCTAAATAAAACAAAAGTTTATTTGCAAGTAAACAATTCTTTGTAACAATTTAGTGCTAGGTGTGGTGAGACTCCTCAACAATAGTGATCATGACCATGATGGACGGATTGTAAAAAAATTCTCAGAGTAGTTACTGGACGGACATCTACAACTGATCATGGTTTGGCCCCAGTCCAAGTCAAAATGGCCACCACAGTTAATCAGCCTCAAAGTCAAGTTATAACTTTGCCAAGATATTGGACTGGAATGATGTGGTAGTAGCTGAGAGTCATTCACAACACATAATCTGCCCCAAACCATTTTTGTTGCGTTCCTTCACTGACTGGTGTATGACGAGTAAATGTACAAAGAAAGACTGCAGTTTGACCAGAACTCTCTGAAAGTTTCCTCAACTGAACTGGATGTTGAATATGGTTCATGGGGGGACAGTCTGAGCAGTTTTCTCCTTCACTCAGTCACCTGCAAGACCTGCTGCTGGATGAAGCCGAACACCTTGCATGACACGAATCCAGTTGTTGGACGTCTGTCTAGGTTTTTGAAGACACAAGTGTTGTTCCTGGACAGGGCCCAGATTGGTGGCATGCATCGGGGTGTGGGGGTGGGGGGGGGAACAGCTGCTCCATGTGGAGGGCACACTGACAGGAGTATCAAGGACAGAGGCCACCAGGATAAAGTCAAAACTTTACGCTCGTTGTCGCAAAAGAAACTGAGCAGCCTGCTTTGGAATGGACTATTTCAGTTACTTTTACGAGTATTTCATTTCAGTTTTAAAGGTAAAGAACCTGAATATGATATCTGATCAGCTATTAAAACAGTCCCCGGCTGTTTTTAACTTGCAAGGCCTTGTAAAAGAGTTAGTCTGCTGCATCCATAAGGAACACCACGAGGACGAGTTTATTAAATGTTTGAGTGCACTTGGGACAGCTGGGACTGAACAAGCTGAGTTTGAAGACTTCTGCTCGATGCACAGTGACTCACACAAAGCTGATAAATGCAGGCAGCTATTTAAAATGGGAACACGCAGATCCGGTTCTAACTGTGGCAACATTAAAACAGCAGGTGTTAAATCATGGACGCCATTAATCAATGCCACGAAGAGGACTGGTGGAGACCTTTTACCCCCTCCCCGTTTCACACACAAGAGGTGGAACTGACCATGAAATAACCAAAACTACTGTCCCGGTGGTTTTATGTTAAAATTAAATAAATGTTCATTTGAAGCTAATGATTGTGAGACACCACAGTTCAAGTGGTCATATAGAATGATGTGGGTGCTGAAAACATTTAATGATAATAAAATTAAATAATAAAACAGAACATTTTATTTAAAAACGCGCTGTACAAATTAAACTTATTGAAATCAAATTAAAAGAACTTTAAGTGTAATCAAATACAATGTCGTCCAACATTAAAAGAGGAAGTTCCCCTGAGTAAATCAGGAGGAATAAGCTGATTTAAAGAGACGTGTTTGTTAAAAGGAAGAAGAAAATGTTTGGACTTTGAAAGAGTGTTCTTTGGTACCAACAAGAATATGTTCTTATGCTCTGTCCCAGTATTGTTTAGTTGGAGAAAAATGTGAGGAAAAACAGGAATTAAGCTCGCCGAGGCAATCAGTGAGGGTGGAAGAAGCTAGGTAGACAAGTAGAGCTGGGTGATATCCGCATAACAGAAAATGATTACTGAATTTATGAAAAATATTACTTCAGGGAAAATGTGTCACGATCTGGTGTGGTTCAGACCCAAAGGTGCAGGCAGCACGACGACTCAGCAGGTAAAATAATAATGTTTTAATATAAAGAACACAAAATAACTGACAGGGCAGCAAACACATACACAGGGAATCACTAGGAACTCAGGAGACATGAGGCAGCAGGAGACAATGCCAGGACAATCATAAACACAAGGACACAGACTTATATACACAGGGAGGCAATCAAACACCTGGACGACACGAGGGTGGAAACAATCAAGACAATTAACAGGGAGACCAGGGAGTGTAGGGATGAGACCCGCCACAAGTGGGGACCATCCTTACAGTACCCTCCCCCCCAAGGACGCCCCCTGGCGTCCCCAGAAAGCCCCCCCCCCCCCCCCCCCCCCCCCCCAAAAAAAAAAAAAA